TCCTTGGTGGAATTCGTGTCAGGTAAAGATTGTTAGAATTTGGGTGTAACCCGAATTTCTTGTTGAAGTAATTGAAGAATTCCAATTGAAATACACGTCATGAAGAATTCAAATTTAGAATATTATTGAAATCCTATGTCATGTTGAAACTCTATTTTGAAAGCCCATTGAGAGTTAGAATTTGTTTTGTACTCAATTTTGTGGTATCCTATTTCATCAACAATACTACTAGATAGATTTTGACATCCCCTATTTATTCCCTATAAATACTATGCTATTCTATACAATTTTATAGGTGTGAGAAAATAAATTACTAGAATTATAAGATCTATTGTAATTTTCTCTGTTCTCCATTATTCTTGAGTCAATAAAATCTCTTAATTCCTGTGCCATATCTTTGTTTTCTTTATTCTTTTGCTTGATCAAATAATTCACTATCATTTTCCATATAACTTCAATATCTCAATCCGGTGATTTGTTTCACAACAATTGGTATCAGAGCTATTCTGGTATCTTGTTTGTTTTACAACACAGCTCGTAAAGAGAGAGAGCAATTTAGGAATTATGATAACATCAAGCTCGAACAGAATTAAACAGAATCAAAACAGGATTCGTAGGCTACACTTAAAATCTCAAACAAACATCAGCTGGACCAAAAGAACAGCAGGAAATAATGTATCGGCTCAAACTACAAAAATGCATAATCAAGATGCAGCAAAAATAATGAACAATTAACCTAGTCAAAGAGACTAAACCCCCATGTCATCATCAGATTCCTCAGCCGGTTCTTCCTTCTTCTCCTCTTCCTTGGCAGCAGCAGGTGCAGCACCTGAATCAGTAGCTGCAACTGGAGCAGCAGCAACTGCAAACATCGTGGGATCCTGATTAACAAAAAGACAATGATAAGCATGACACGACAGTAAGCTGTACTGGGTCTAAAAAGCATGCAAATTAACATAATCGGTAGATACCTCGAGGTATTCCTTCACTTTATCTGCCAGTGGGAAGGAATAATCGATTTCAACTGCAACTGCCAAAACATTCTTGTATGCATTGATGAACATGTGTGGTGCAGCTGCTAGTGTTGGGTATGAGATGGCCAGTGACAAGGAAGTGACCATGTAAACTCCCAAGGCAAACTTCTCAATGAGATCGTCTTCTGTCAAATCAAGAACCTCAGGGCTGAAAACAGATCCATTGTCATAAACTGAGATGACAACAAGACCATAAGAGAACGGCCTGATTCCAAATTTAGCAAGCAGAGCAGCTTCAGAAGAACCCACTTTGTCACCCTTCTTGATAAGCTCCACAGGGGTGATGATTTCCACAGTACCTTTGTTAATCTTCGTTGGAATATTGAGAACCTGGAAGGAGACGAAGTTAGAAACAATAATGCTAGAAAAAGAGAAACTTAGACACAATTAGAATGTAATATGGACACCTGGAAGAAAGAAGTCTGTGATGGATCAAGTCCCGTGTTGCTAGGTGGAACAACAACATCTACTGGAGTGACCAGACCAACACGAGCTGGAGCTCCAACCTGTAAAAACACGCATTTTTTTGTATCAGTTTTAGCACCAACAAAGAGTCAAAATAGGCAAAGCAAAGTAGAGAAAAATTCCAAAGATTTAGACATGCAACCTTCAGCATAATCCCACGCGATTTTATACAATTTTAAAAATAATGCTTTTGACAGTAATAACATCAGAGGATGTATGACATATTCTCCATCTAAAAGCAAAATCCTTATCTCAAGTAAATTTAGGACAATCTAATTTCATGCGCATGTGTGCTATTTCATGCACATCCTCAATTATAAATAAACAAAAAAGATGCTAAAGAGAAATAGAATTCTATTCTCCATTAGTAGCAAATAACAAGTTAGAATAAATTAAGATCAATAGACACTGCTTCCATTGCATTAGTATTGAGAAACAAGTCAGAACAGATTCGAAAAGAAAAGAAATCTTATCTACAAAACAGTTGTACAAATTCCAGTACACAAAAAGATGAATCTAAAATTCTCTGCGACACCTTCACTCCATTTGAATTTCAGATAGCAAAATGAGAAAAGACAATAGAATGTAATCTTAATGTGCTTGGTAGTCGAAAGCAGAAGAGAAGACAATCCTAGAAATTACAAACAAGAATTCTTAGAGTTAGCCCCATTTAAGCCTTCATTTCTTAAAATTCATTTTTTCCCCAACTCATTTTCATCCATATATTTCATGGGATCCACAAAATTTATCTATTTTTCAACAACACATTTCATCAACTTCTATAAAAATCTCCTAAAAATCTGATTTTTATCCAAACCAAATGGGGGCTTAGCTAATTTCCCTTTCTAATGCAGGGTTTGAACATCAATGACCTATGGTAAAAGAGCTGTGAAGTCAAACAGTATCCTATTCCTTTACATCATTCTACCTTACTAAATACAACCAAGAGTAAAAAAGGGCTCAGTTAAAATGACCATTCAGTATTTGAACTCGGATAAAAAATAAAAATAAACTTCAAGGTGAAATCTTTGAGTTCATTTCAATCATAACTAAGCAATAACATGCACAAGGTAATTTTATCAAACACACACTATATTAGAATCCTACATTGTTTGGGAAAATATTAATGATCCACTTAATAAGGTGAAGGCAATCCTCCCCTAATAAGCCGGTTTTATTAGGTGGAGTTAGGCCCAATATTCTTAACATGGTATCAGAGCGAATGCTACTTCCGTCTGCAATGCTATCAATTTTTCTGCTGCTTTCATTTCGTTTTTCTTCTGGTGCACGTTTTCAGCGATCTGTTATTCCTGGTTTATTCTTGCTGTGTTACTGCTGGTTGTTCACGCAGAATTGTCCATGGAGTTCCGAAATTCTTCATCCTCGTCCGCCATGTGTTCGACAGAAGTTCCCACTGGCGAGGGGGATTGCACTGGTGGTTTTCTTCCAGTTATTGCTGGAGTTATTTTTGCATTTCCATTTCT